GTGAAAAAGTTGGCCCTCGGTTCCCTCTTAAATCTTTCCCCTCTCACCTTAAACTTATGCCCTCTAGTTTTTCAATCTTCTGCCCTAAGGAAAAGACTTTGGCTATTCACATAATCTATGCCCGTCATGATTTTATAAACCTTCATAAGGTCGCTTCTCAGCCTCCAACCCTCCACGGAAAAAAGTCCCAGCCTCTCCTTATAACTCAAACCTTCCAGTCTCGATAACATCCTTATAAATCTTTCTTACACCCTTCCCAGTTTAATAACATCCTTCCTAGTACAGAGCAACCAGAATTGTATGCAGTACTCCAAATGTGGTCTTATCAATGTCTTGTACAGACATAACATGACGTCCCAACTTCCATACTCAATGCTCTGACCAATGAAGGCAAGTGTGCCAAATGCCTTTTTTACTGGACTGTCCACCTGTGATGCCACTTTCAAGGAACTATATACCATGATGTTCTCTCTGGAGTATGTGAGACCCCTCTCATTTGAGCTGCCTCTTTTAAATAGTTATCCAGGTCCTTCCCAAGTACAATGGTTTACTATCATTTAGTAACAGTAGTTTAATATAACAATGTAATTCGCATATTTCAGTTAATCCAAGTAACTTGAGTTTCTTTCCAAAGAAGGGTGTTACAGAAGATGGTATTGGATATTACGATTTCTCTATTAATTGAGCTGACCCCTGGAACCAGTTCTACTCAAGCTCAGATCTACTGGTCCACCCGAAACAGCATTGTCTTATCAACACCTATTCAATACTCAATCAAGGTGAATGGCTTGCATATCTGTCTGGCTTGATCTAATTTGACAGTGAATGCTGCAAGCTTTCTACCTTAATATCTCAGTTCCACTGTTTCATTAACACCTATTCAATATAACCAATCAAGGTGACTGGCTTGCATATCTTCTGTCCAGCCTGATCCACTTCCCAGCATGCTGTTCAGATGGCCACTTTTCCCAGTGTGCCATTCAGGTGGCCAATTTTAGTGTCCAAAAGAACTGATATTTTATTTAAACTGGACATTCCACTACCTACAGAGGCCTAATGAGATTTCTCACCGTATTCTACCAAACTCAACTTGTTAACTACCTACACTGCCTTATGGCTTCCTCACTTTCAGTTGTATCCTTTGTAGCCATGAACTATTTCTGGAATAATTTGCTGCTCAGAAGATATTCACTGAAAGACTGACATCCCTTGCACCTACACCACATTTAAAAGGTCACTGTGCATCTAGACAAGTATTGACAATCTGATGTTGCTCCTCATGGCACTGTAATGGCACAGCAGCTGTAAGGCTACGCTGTTCACAGCACAAAGCTGACATGGCTGACACTCCCTGACATATGTTCTGAAGAAGGGTCACTGGACCTGAAATGTTAACTCTGATTTCTCTCCACAGATGCTGCCAAACCTGCTGAGATTTTCCAGCAATTAGTATTTTTGTTTCAGATTTCCAGCATTTGTAATTCTTTTGGTTTTTTTACTCCCTTTCACACACACTATTCTCACACCCTACCTCTTACCTAACCAGTATGCCACACAGTTGACCTTTCCTTAACTGAATTCCATCTAACACTCTCTCTAAAGCACTGCTATTCTGTCTGCAATGCCCACTGGAGATCTGTAGTTTGTCATTGTCCATGAGTGGAACATTACATAAAGGCAAGCAATTGGACAATTCCAACATGAACTTTTGTTCACACCCTATGAAAGCAAACACAAACAAAATGAATAGAGGCTGTAGTTCACCTCCACAATGCAAACCAAATACTCTTATTTGTGGCAAATGACCACTTTATAGCCAGCTTTCATCTCCAGGAACCAATTCCGGCAAGATGGCAGCAAGGTAAGTTGCTCTATTCGGACCTCCACTCTGCTCGTCAATTCTCTTTCTCATTCTCTCTCTTTCTTTCTTTGTCCTTCCTTTGTTTCTCCCTTCTTCTCTCTCCCACTGTAGCAATTCTATCCCCTCCACCCCCTATTGACCTCCAAACTAAGGAGTTGGGAAGGAGCCGGGTCGCAACCGGGAACCACGTGGCAGGAGCTGAACGCATGGGTTGTGTCCTGCAGGGATGGCAGATCAAGAATGAGCTGGCGAGAGTGGGCCAGTGAGGCAGCCCAGAGTAGGACGCTAGCGGCGGCATAACATGGGCTGGAAAGCCCGGAGCAGGGCTCTGGCAGTGGAAAGGAAAGTTGGATCCTCTGAAGTTATCATTTTTTTCTTATCTAATTCTAAGTTAACATGAATTGCACCATGTCTGTACGGCAAAGGTACACACTTTTTACTATATTTTTACATTGAATACACGTGACAATAAATGATTCGATACATTCAATTCAATTCAATCAATTCAGGTGTCAGTGAGGTCCGGTCTTGCTTGTAACACTTGATGAAGCTGAGCTCTGTCATGGACAAAAGACAAAAAGAACCTGCTCCTCTGATGTTGCCAGGCCTGCTGTGTTCCTCTAGCTGCACACTGTGTTGTCTCTGACTCCAGCATCTGCAGTTCTTGCCATTTCTTCCTCCTCCTCTTTCTCAGAAAACTGCAATTGTTCCCAAGCTCTTTGATACCCAGCACATATCTAATACCTGCTTCAACTTTGCAGAGCAGAGTACTTCAGGATGATGGAACACACGCTGTGCAGATTGGTCTGAAAGGATCCCCAGACCAGTCCAAGCAGCCTTATCACCTGGTCTGGAGTATCCACCGCTTTACATCAGAATGGGAGTGCCTGCTGAGCTCTAAACTCTTCCCATTATCATTGGATTCAGTACAGTCCATAATCATACTTACATGACAAAGCAATGTTCACCTCCTTCCACAGCACCTTTGGAAGTTTCACAAGTAATTTTTAAGTAATTGTTTTAGTTTTTAAGTAATTGCCCCTAACGTCTGCTTCAGCGAAATAGTAATGTTAGATTTGCATGCATCAATGGCTTGGTGCAAAAAACCTTTGGCCAGCATTCGAATTCTATGCACATTCACTCTGCATATACTACAAATGGGTGAAGATATTATTGCAAATGAAATGTAGTTGGAGTTTGCAAATTCATACTTCATGTATTCACCCCTTCAATGTCCTCCTGTTGAGCAAATGTGGATCCTGCACTTTCACTAATGCAACAGACACAAACTCAGCTCACCCTCATGTTCTCCCAGCCAATTTCCAGTTGCATTTTGCATCTAGAGCATGGCAAGTGACTGTGGGGAAAGCATCTTGCAATCAGCACCATCAGCTATGGGCTTCACATGGTTGCTAGGCAGCCATCCTCCCTCCATCCTGGGTATCCATGTCCCCTATTGCCTTACTATACGCTGACAGCCTATTTCCAGTCATTGCCCACCCCCCCACGAAGAGACGCATCACATTTAACTGCGCCTCCAGTTGTCCTCCCTGTGCCCCGAACCCCAATATTACACGTTAATGATGCCTACCCTGCTCTGATAGCTCCCCCTGTAGAACCTATCGTGGTGGTCACTGTCAATTAGCACCCCCTCCCAAGCCTACCATGCCCTCCAATGCTGTTCTGCATACACCCCACACACTTTGAGATGTCCCCTATCACCATCCATGTCCCCATTTCTACCCATTCCTCTGCTTTCCCACAGCAGCATTGACTCCCCCATCCCTGCTACCCCTACAGGCTTTGCTTGCACTCAACGATCAACAAACAGACTCCACCATTCAAGCAAGACTTCGGACTGACTTTGACGACCAGACCCCTTACCACTGTGTTTGCAGCTTCCCGACTGACGATACATGGTTCCCCTGACTGCTGGTGCTGACCCTATAGGACTAACCATTGCCTGCTGCACAGACTGCAGTTGGACAGATCCCCAGATTTTAAGTGTCCCAAACTGATGACTAACTGTAGCCAAGCCCATATACTGTGCTCCTGACTGATGATACCAAGACTCCCTGACAGATAGCAGCTGCTCCGTGCCTGTGGAATGGACTGAGGACCAGCTCCCATGTAGTTTTGTGTTGAAATAATGCACAGCACCAGCATAATGGTGAGCATGTAACCACCGTTAATTGTTGTAGAGACCCATCAGGTTCACTGATGTCCTTTAGGGTAGGAAACTTGCCATCCTTACTTAGTCTGGCCTCCATGTGACTCCAGACACACATTAATTGGGTTGACTCTGAACTGCCCTCTGAACAATTAGGAACGGGCAATAAATGATGGCCCAGCATGTGACACCCACATCTCATGAATGGATTAAAAAAGAGAGAAAATTACACTCCTCAGGGGAAACTAGCAGAACAGTAGCCTAAGCCAGCCATTAATCAATTCAGTAAGGAATTCAGGACAAACATTTTTATATAGAGTCATTAAATATGAAACTTGCAACCACATGGAGTAGTTGAGTTGAATACCATAGTGCATTTGAAGAGAAGCTAATAAAGTAATAAAAAATGGTCAATAAAAAAGCAGAAGGATCTGTTAACAGTTGGGAGAAGGGTGATGTGGAGCATAAATACTGTCATAGACAAGGCCTGTTGCTCCAAACTGTATGTAATTCGATGTCACATTCAGCATGTGCTAGCTCACTATTTTTGTACAATTTTTTTCTGAATTTTACCAGTTTTTCTAAATAAAATTACTTCTAAATGTCCTAAATTGATGCTTGTCTGCCAAATACATGAAAATCATGCTGTAATATAAGAAATGGCAGTTACTCTCTGAGTCAGAAAAAGTAGTCAAAGAGGGAGAAAATTATGAAGGCGTCAGCAAGTCATAAATTACATCACCTAACACAGAGTATACTGCCATAAAAACAAAAACACAGATGTATTGATAATACACAGCTATTGTGTCATCAACTTATATTAGACTCTGCTGGCTCTCCAGAGAGTTCAGAGTTTATCCCTTGAGTAGATGATTTGTAACATCGAAACGTGTCTAAGTGCAAACTCTAGTCTATATGATTGAGTTAGGATCTATTATAGGCTGATGGTAGGAGTGATACAATTAACATTGACATCACTTGTTTCAAGATGGAAGAACAGGTGGAGAGAGCAGTAAATAAAGCATCCAGCGTTCTTAGCTTTATTAATAGAGGCAAAGAGGTGGTGTTGAACTTGTACAAGACACTTGTTAAACCTCAGCTTGAGGAAAGATGCAAATGCATTGGAAAGAGTGCGTAAGTGATTTACTCAAAGGGTTCCAGGTTTGAGAAACTTCAGCGATGAGGATAGATTGAAGAAGTTGTGACTGTCCTTCCTGGAGAAAAGAAGGATAAGAGAAGAACTGATTGAGGTTTTCAAAATCATGAGCAGGCTAGACAGAGTAGGTAGGGTGAAACTGTTTCCACTCATAAAAGGAAAAAGAACACAAGGGTATAGATTTAAAGTGATGGATAAATGAAGTGTAGGTGATGTGAGAAAAAACTATTTATGCATCAAGTTTCTAGAGAATAAAATGGACTGCCTGGAAATGTGGTGAAAACTGGTTCAATTGAGGATTCAAGATAGCATTAATGGTTATTGGGAATGAAATGTGTGTAGGGATATGGGGAAAAGACAGGAGATTGGCACTAGATAATAGAGCTAGAGCAGGCACAATGGGCCAAATGTCTCCCTCTGCACCATTTAATTCTGTGATTCTAAAGGAAGAAACATGTGGACCAGAGTCCCACCCAGTTGGTTTACATGAGTCAAACT